TATTCCCAAGAACCATAAATTCTTTTCCTTAACTTTGCCCTTTTAAAAGTCTTATAAGTAAAATTAACTCAAAAAGATGTTTGCTATTTTTTGGAGGGAGGGGCAGTTGATATCTCCGCGCTTTGCTTGCTTCTTAAAAAACAAAAAAAATGGAAAAACAGAGGGAAGTTAGGCCAACGGAACGGTTAGCTTCCCTCCGACTCTCTGGTTCACTTTACAATCAAAGAAAAATTCTTTTGCAGTTGATTCTTGGTCAGCTCCTTGGACCCAACCTCACCTTCTCCACAGCAATCACCTTTTCGCCACTTTTTATTCCATATTGGTGCTAATTAAATACCCATCTGGTTTTTTCTTTTTTCTTTACCAAAGAGCAAATCGCGGTACCTTTTGATGTGGCTTCTTAATTTGTTGATATAAAGTTTCGTCATTTATTTAATTTCGCTTGTTCCCCGGGGGGGGTGTGTGTTTGTTTTTGGAGATTGTGATTAGTTTCAAGAGAAAGTTCCCTTCTGCATGATACACCAGCTTTACTCCCCAGGGTTTTTTCTTTTTTGCCTCACCGAAATCTCATGACTATTCTAATCCTAGAACATGAAAGTTTTTTTGCCCGGTGCTAATTTTGTCATTGCTACCTAGCTTCCTGAGTTTTCTGCCTGCATAATTCTTGTCCACAGTTTGTACTTTTTGTTGAGAATCGAGTGCTCATTCATTATATTTTACAAAGAAAAATGCCTGCTACTTGGCTTTGAAAATTTCTCCAATGAAGACTCGGCACTCATTTCAAGCAGATTCCTTATGCAATTCAACTTATGCAGCCCCTTCAAATCCCATGGGAGATGAAAGTAGGATGGCTGTAGGAGTGAGGAGTAGGTTTACTCGAGCTCGCCCTTCTTCACTCTTGATAGCAGTGGCTATGAGGATATCAAGAGCAAGGTGGTTCTCCTTCCTGAGAAGAGTTTTTCATTATCAGAATGGGTCCAGATCTGATCTTGGGTCCAATCCTTTCAACTCTAGCACTTGGATGATGCTGGAGTTCTTGGCTTTGGCTATTCAAATAACCATCATAACCTTCACTTTGGCCATATCACAGAGGGAGAGGCCTGTTTGGCCTATGAGGCTTTGTATTGTTGGAAATGACAACGGTTGTGTTCTCAATCTTCTGTTACTCTGCGGGCGTTATCACTATGTTCACATGAATTTAGGAGATGGTTTTGGCCTTTCAGATCTGGAACAACAAAGGAGAAATGAAGAATCCAGGTTAACTTTATATTTTCTGTTGAAAAGTGAAATCCTTGGATGCATTGTCATATTCAAACTGATGTTGGGATGAAAGGGATTCCTATTATATATATCATCTTTGTGGATTGTAGAATTCCAAATCAATTTAACATTTGATATATATCATCTCAAAGCACAAAACTTTCTCTTCACACCAATCAATTTAGTATATATTTGATGTTTCTTTGAAAATTAATGTTTGATCAGTACGAAAACTAAGGATGAGGAAATCAACTCATTTTACACTTTGCTATATTTATTCAGATATGGGATAGAAGAGATTCCTAATGTATATCATCAATATGGAGTATAGAATTTCAATCAAATGAGTAATTAATGATCCTTGAGAATGTTCCATTAGATCAAAATTTAAGAAAACACCATCCAGAGTAATAATTAGGAACTTCAAGACCTTTAGGAAAGCAATAAACTAAGTTCACTTAAAAGTTTAGTAGTTTCATGGAAACAATTGCTTATTTAATCTTTATTGTTGATAAATGATATATAGTATGTACAGGAGCACGCATTTGATGAACAAATGTCGGACTTCACTTGAGCTGTTTTTTGCAATATGGTTTGTGATGGGAAATGTTTGGGTGTTTGATTCCTGGTTTGGATCATTCCACCATACTCCAAATCTCCATATTCTCTGCATCTCTTTGCTAGCCTGGAATGCTCTCAGCTACTCATTCCCATTCCTGTTGTTTCTATTTCTATGCTGTCTTGTGCCACTGATCAGCAGCCTACTTGGGTACAACATGAACATGGCGTCAACTGAGAAAGGAGCATTTGATGATCAAATTTCCCAGTTACCTAGCTGGATATATAAAGCAGTCAATAACGATGTAGATGTTGGCAATGAAGTAGACTGCATTCCAACCCATGAAATTGATGATGATCTGGTAAGTCATTAGGCTGAATAACAGAATCCTGGAATCTTAATTAAAGCCAAAGCCAGCTAACTTGTGCTTGGAATTAACACAAACAAGAATGCTGTATCTGCCTTGCCAAGTATGGAGTCAAGGAGGAGGTGAGGCAGCTGCCATGTTGTCATATATTTCACCTCAAGCGTGTGGATCAGTGGCTCAGACTCATCTCTAGTTGTCCTGAGTAAACAAGAACTGAACAGGTAGAAAAAGAAAGCAAAATATGAACAAGTAGTGATTCTTCACCATTTTTTCTCTCCGAGTTTCTTCCTTTGGTTTGTATATTTTGCGAGGTTACTCTATGTGAGTGAGTTTTTGTATGTATTTACAATGTTGCTCACCACTCCAGTAACCAGAAGGAAAAGCAAAACAGAACACTATACATAAACACGAGTATAGATTGTAGGAATCTGTATAGCTGAAGAAAGATACAGATACTGAAAGACATATCCAATATTGTACCAAGATTAAGCTTGCATTTCATTCTTGTGTATTCCAAAACCTCTTTGGTCTTGTTAAAGCTGAATTTTCTCAAGATGAATGAATTGCCGGGCAGGACGGTGTTGATATTAATTATATGGCTTTGATTAACTGGGTTTACAATTTTGCTCTCTCAAAAAATGGGGTATTGGAGCTTCCAAAACAGGAGCTTGCAAGGCTCTGGGCATTGGAGTGTTGGGGAACGTAGTCCCAATATCCCACAACACCAAGCTGGCCAAAGACTTAATCAAATATCAAGTGTCATTAGCTTTTCCTTTATAACAAAGGCAACACAAAAGCTAAGCTTACACCAAAAAAAAGGCAACACAAAAGCTAAGCTTACATGGAGTAAAGCAGCAACCGCGTATTCGAAATGAAACCCCAAAATGTCTAAATCGCGAGCTGGGCCTCTGCGGTTTCAACATCGAATTGTCGGCCCAAAATTTTAGGCTGAACTGTTGCGGTTTTGCCTGCTACCGCCTCCTTATATTATGTTATGCATATAAAATTAGAAATTAGAAATCCCAAAAACACAGACAACATTGCTGCGGAAGCTGGACGACGGAGATAGGAAGAACTCCAAAGCTTCATCCAAACTCTCTCTCTCTCTCTCTCTCGGTGCCGCAATCAACGTATCTTCGTCGCCAGAAAAAGGTAATCTTTCATTCCACCTTCCCTTCTCCTACAACGCCTTCCGGGTTTCGTTTATCTTTTTGTCTTTCTGCTACTCTGAATTCAATTCTTCCTTTATATATGGGATTCTGAAATTTGTTTGTGTTCTTGATTTCATGTGGGTAATCTGTGTTTGCGAAGTTAATAGGTGGAAATGTAGAAAGGATGACTGGTGGTTGGATTAATTAATAAGTCAGCGGTTTGAATGATGGGATTTCTGTTCTAATATAAAATAGGGCTTTTTTAGAATTGTTTCATTGCTCTTCTATTAAATTTTTTTATATGCTATGGTATGATTGTGTGCTTTAGGAAGTGCGTTTTTATTGAATTTTAGAGGTGATAGGAAGATCCGAACTCAATCAGCATTAAACAGAATTCGAGTTTGTAAATTATTTTCTATTTATTCTTTAAATTGCAAGTATGAGATTCTCATACAAGCAGTTAAAATTTCCAGCTTTCTTTGTTTAATTTCTTCCCATCAACATTCCAATGCTGACTGCAAGCGCAAGTGCTGTTGTTCCATCCCTGCCGTCACCTTCAGTTACATATGCTCCACAATGCTTCTTATTTTGGCTTTGTGTTGTTTTTTTTATTTAGTCTTAAAAAGGTTGTATCTTTTATGGTAAGTGCTTTGACTAACTTTATTACAATCTTCTTTGATTTATGGCTGCAACATTCTCTGGTAGGTGTTTTTGAGATAGGCTGGAAACCTAGAACTTGTTTTGGCTTTCTAATTTTCAGAGTGAGGTGCAACTTACTGAATTAGGTATAAGTAAACTTTGAAATGACTAAACCTAAAGGAGAGCTTCATACATGTTTAATTGACCAGATAATTGTACCTTTCACTTCCATTATTTAGTTGTTTGTGCTCTGAACAGCCTTTAGGATGAATAAATGTAGACGTGCATATATATATATATATATATATTGCAGCAATCTCTGTGGTAACTAAATCGTGTTGGATTATAGTTGATGATATAAGATATTTAGTTACACGTGTACATTTTCTTTATTCACACTAGCATTTTATTATATGTTTGTCTCAGTTAAAACAAGAGGGCTGTGGAGCAGGCAAACCAAGCATGCTTCTTATGGTCCAGTGAATCTTCCTGTGCGATTGCAGCCTTCCAGTGCACGTGGGATTCAAAGCAAGGTTGCTGGTAGAAGTTTTGAGCAAAAGCTGTCTGCAACTTTTATATGC